GGGCCGGACAGAACTGTTCGATGGGCTGGATGCGGCCCACAGGCCATATTTAGCCCACACCGGGGTAGAATCAGGCCCTCGATAAAGGGAGTCCTTGCACTGAGATCCCTCGGATACATATTGCAGGTCAAGTAAGTATCAGTTCTAGGGAGAACGGGAGTTAGCCATGGACAGAGAGAGAGAGAGAGAGAGATCAACCTTATTTCTGGGAAATTGAGAGGAACTGGGTTACCACTGAATACTGCAGCACTGCTCAGCTGAATTACAACACATGGCTGCGATGCAGTACTGAATTGCAACATCCACCCCGATGCAAAACCACAGAGCTCTTTATTTTCAGCTACTTCTAATAAATGGTCAGAAAGACGATGGTCACCAAAGCTCACAATATAGAGCTCAATGTTGGAAGAAGGCTCATACAAACCTTTCACAGGAAAGCAGCAGTGAAGCTGGTTTGGGATTTCATTACCAGCTTAAAAATCTTAGTGAAGATTTGCTGAAAGGATCATGTAGGCTTGCGCAAAAAAAGGACAGGTGAATGGAGATTTTTGGTTAATTTGAACCTGAAAGTAAAATTCAGGTAGTGAGAACTGCTGCTTATTAAAGGCACATTTAGTCTAAACAACGTATTGCCTGTCTAAAGAGGACACCCTGGACCTCTAGCATTACTATAGCTCAATTCTTTACCTCAGCTCACATTTTATCACCTTAGTGTAATATCTGTATAATAATGTGCTACCGAGTTCCTCTAATCAGAAATTCACAAGATATTCCAGTTTTGCAAAACTGATTTTAAGGGACAATCTCAGCATTGTCATGAGTGCTTTCACATCTATATTCTGGTATTCTGTTTTCCCCACCTGTTGGCTTTTCCTAGATGGCACTTCCTCCCCACATGTACAGGTGAGGGGAGAGAGATTTAAGACACCTGCTCTTGCTATGTGTGCAGAATTTTGGAGGCGAGGCAGTCTTATTTGCCATGCAGGGAGGGCAGAACACTGGGAGTTACGGTGAGGGTAGCAGACTCCTGTGGGCATGAGAAGAGGGCATAGTATCTGAGCCCAGGGCCTGAGGGAGTTCTCTGCCAGAACACAGAAGGGGATCCCAGACCCCAGGTACATAATGAGGGCACAATATTGGAATTTAGGGTGAGTGTGTAGGTGTTTACTGAAACATGGAGGTTACAGCACTAGGCTAGGACTTAGGAGACCTGAATTCAAGTCTCTGCCCCACCAGAGACTACCTGTCTGACTTTGAGAACCGAGGTTAAAGTGACTTGTCCAATCTGTAGGAGAAAAAAAAAAAGGTGGTGGGGGGGAATAATAGCACTTCCCTACCCCATCGGGGTGTTATGAGGGCAAAAACATTTAAATCAGTGGTCCCCAACCTTTCAATATGGCGGGCGCCGAACAACGGAGAAGCGGCGTCATCAAAAAACGTTGCCGCCGAAATGCCGCCGAGAACTGGCATCATTGAGAAGCGTTGCCGCCAAAATGCTTCTCAGCGGCATTTTGGCGGTTGGTTGTCCAGTGGCCGCGCTCCTCAGCGGCGGGGCACTCCCTTGTCAGTAGGTGAGCCATGGCGTCCACGGGCACCGTATTGGGGACCGCTGATTTAAATAGTGTGAGGCGTTCAGATATTATAGTAATGGGGGCCTAAAATAGAGGTGATCTAACATCAAGGCCAAGGGATAGGGATCACCACAGACACACAGGAGTGAAAAGAATGGCATAGCTAGTGGGGGAGGGAATCAGGGCAAGTGCCTAAGGGAAGGCCCAACCTGGGAGCTGGAAGGGCAGTGACAGGGATTGCAATTAGCACATAAGGGCGAGTGGACCTTCAGTCAAGGTCCACCACACACATCTGATAGGCACCTTTTGTGCTGGATTGAGGAAGGGGTCACAGACCCGGCAATCAGTCAATCAAACGTGGGCTGGGTCACTGAGGTGCGCTGTAAGCACTGTTGCACCAAAGCTCCTGCTCCCAGATCATAAAAGCCCTCCACTTTTTTCCAGATGATGTTACACACTGGATGGGATTGCTTGTTAGTAGAAGCACATATGGGCATCCGAAGAAGTGGGCTGTAGTCCACGAAAGCTTATGCTCTAATAAATTTGTTAGTCTCTAAGGTGCCACAAGTACTCCTGTTCTTCTTTTTTCATAGAATCATAGAATATCAGGGTTGGAAGGGACCTCAGGAGGTCATCTAGTCCAACCCCCTGCTCAAAGCAGGACCAAACCCCAGACAGATTTTTACCCCAGTTCCCTAAGTGGCCCCCTCAAGGATTGAACTCACAACCCTGGGTTTAGCAGGCCAATGCTCAAACCACTGAGCTATCCCTCCAGATCTCTCCTACAAACTCACTTACAGAATCGCCTGAGGAGGCTGGTATGTCCCTGGTGAAAATCGTACACAGCTCTCACATAATAAATGAAAGTTCCCGGGGGGGGAGGGAGGATGCACAGGGGAGACAGCTTGGGCCTTTATCTGGTACCTAATATCCCACATCACATATTAAGTCAACATCGGGTGCAGTTTGCTCCACATTTCTGCAATCCCAGAGAAAGACTCAGAGGCAGTGGTACATGTTCATACCACCACCAAATATACTGGGGCCCACCATACCTTTAAGCTTCTTCCTGCATTTGGGCCAATATTTTTAAAGCTGGGTGCCTAAAGGTAGGCCCCACAATCCATATTTAGGCATCTAAATCTCCCGATGGGCAGAAGTGCACCCACAAATCCCACTCAATGGGAGCTGCCGGGGTTCAGCCCCTCTGAAAATCAGACCACTTGTGCTCAGCTTCCTAAAGACGGGGGCAGGGGCCCAGCTTCAGACAGGGAGGCTTGAAAATGCTGCGCTTTGCTGCCAGGCACCGGCATCCTGACCCCAGCGCGCAGGGGAGCAGGGGATGCACTTGCAAGGAAGCGAATTAGCGACTCACCCGCTGCGCTTTCTCCCAGATCTGGTTCAGCTTCACAACCCTGAACTCCCCGGCCTCCTGGCGCTTCGGGCTGCCGGCTGTAGCAGCCTCATTCACCTCCCTGGAGTATTTGCCCCCTTGCGCCAAGACAACCAGCAGCAGAGAGGAGCTCAGAGCCAGCAGCTCCCAAACGGCAGACATCGTCCCCCCGCCTCCTCTTGCTGCGACAGCTGCTGCAGAGAGTCACCCAAGCAAGCAGCCGGCCTGGATAAGAGGAAAACTACAACCCCCACGCTGCAGTGCTCCAGAAGGCACCGTGGTCATTGTAGTTCGCCGTGAAGGCAAATGATCCAGCCCTAGGGAATCCTTACAAACCCCGACTACAAGACCCAGAATACATTGCACAAAGGGGGCTGATGGGAGGCTTAAAGAAATCTCGGAAGGGCCTAATTGTTCAACCAGGGCTCTTGTGAGGGAGCTGACAATGCAGCTTTCTGCAGGCACAGCGTTCATTGTGCAATGGTGTTTGCTATTTCAGTATCAGGCAGCAGCTTAAATATAGAACATACAAGCCAAAAAATAAAAATCAAAATTTTTGCTTTTCATTTTTGAGCAAATTTTGTAGGGAGAGCCTGAATTGTAGCAGGAAAATGCAGGCTGCAGTTCTCCTACTGAGAGCACCTTTTTAGGTATCTAAGTAATCAGCTTGGATTTGTTGATTGGAGGGTAGGGAGAGGGTCCAGAGTGACCTAGACAAATTAGAGGATTGGGCTAAAAGAAATCTGATGAGGTTGAACAAGGACAAGAGCAGAGTCCTGCATTTAGGAAGGAAGAATCCCATGCACCACTACAGGCTGGGGACCGACTGGCTAAGTAGCAGTTTTGCAGAAAAGGACCTGGGGATTACAGTGGACGAGAAGCGGGATATGAGTCAGCAGTGTGCCCTCATTGCCAAGAAGTCCAGCGGCATTTGGGCTGTATTAGTAGGAGCACTGCCAGCAGATAGAGGGAAATGATTATTCCCCTCTGTTCGGCCCTGGTGAGGTCACACCTGGAGTATTGCGTCCAGTTTTGGTCCCCCAACTACAGAAGGGATGTGGACAAATTGGAGAGAGTCCAGCAGAGGGCAACGAAAATTATTAAGGGGCTGCAGCACAAGACTTATGAGGAGAGGCTGGGGTTATTTAGTCTGCAGAAGAGAAGAGTGAGGAGGGATTTGATAGCAGCTTTCAACTACCTGAGGGGTGGTTCCAAAGAGGATGGAGTGAGGCTGTTCTGCGTGGTGGCAGATGACAGAACAAGGAGTAATGGTCTCAAGTTGCAGTGGGGGATGCAGTAGGTTGGATATTAGGAAACACTATTTCACTAAGAGGGTGGTGAAGCACTGGAATGGGTTATCTAGGGAGGTGGTGGAATCTCCATCCTTAGAGGTTTTTAAGGCCCGGCTTGACA